TACATATGTATATATGTGTGTGTATATGTATATATATATATATATATATATATATATATATATATATATATATATATATATATACATTTTTTAAGTGTGTATATATAAGCATATATATACACATATATAGGTATATATGTATATGTATATATATATATATATATATATATATATATATATATATATATATATATATATATGTATGTATATAGATATTGTATTTTGCCCTAATGAACGACGTACCATGTGTACAGCCACAATATTTGCGACCAAATGCCAAGTGCATCCACCGAAACGGACAAAGCGTATAGATCTTCCATATAGAAACACCAATTTAAGGTAATATTATACCTTAAACCACGTTATATGCTCTTCCACAGAAACTTCAGGATGTTGGAGTTATCCCATTTATTACAATTAGCGAGAGGTTAGTGTGTTGAAATTTCGAGTCTTCCCCGTAACAGTTCTTCCATATAAAGCCAGTTCGTAGCCGAATAACGTAGTTTTGCCATATCTGTGCGTTTATACCCGTTCTGCATGAAACAACGGAGTCAGAACTCATGGTCTTCCAAACCAACATGTATGATCTTCCAAACCGATATGTATGATCTTCCAAACCGATATTTATGATCTTCCAAACCGATATGTAGAGATCTTCCATTGTTCTTCCACGTCCACGAAGAGTAGTCATGAGGTTAGAACTAGAGGGGCTTCCATTTTAACCCTTATTCCTGATCGATCCTTTTCCCGCGCGTAAAATTTTAGAATGGAACCGTGAATATTTTTTTAGCGCCCGATTTTACTGTTCGAAGAGTTTGATCTTCCAATTAGTTATCAAACAAAATAAAAATCCATCTTTCCCGCGATAGACTTCCGACTAACTTCATTCTGGTCTGTAATCTGTAATCCATCCACAGAATTGACAAGAGTGGGTCAAGGCCAGGATGCTCCACTCATCCAACAGGAGCATTAGAGGCCGTAAGAGACCCTTCCCTCTATGACGATGATATTTAAATATATCCACTTGGTCTTTGAAGTTACTATATATGACAACAACGGAGATGGAATACATGCTCTTCGTCTTGACACATTCAGATTTATCGATAATGTATGTTTGTTGGAATGTAAGAGACGAAACTCTAGAAGTGAATATACATTTATCATGTTAGTGTAGGTCCATTTTTCTATTTTACAAAATTAAAATTCTAGCGATTTCTTAGCTATTCTGATTGTGATATGTTTATGTAGGCACGTCTCCCTTACTGAAAAAGTGTGAAAGAATCAGTACAATCCACATGAATCAAAACCACTGTATAATAAGTGTGTATGTATCCGCTGTTCAGCTGTATCCCCTATACTAAAGTATGTCCTTCAAGCAAAGTTTTCTTTGAATGCTATTTTTCCGTTTAAGGAACCTTTGTTTATACTGTGATGCACATAACTCTTGATGATATATATAAGTCTTTAGTATAAAAAGTCAGAATATATTTTTAGGTTGTGAGAGAAGTGAATTGTTCCATGTATTAGTTTAGCGGCCTCTGGAGGGGAAATTGTGAGAAAGTCAAATATCATGATTTTTATCATTTAGTGCTCCCGTCCTTGATTTTAGATTTGTTATTTTTTCGAGATTTACTGAAGCCAATAACTGTATTTTTGGAATAATATATTTTCCTTACTAAAATGCCTTTACCATCGTGTACTGCAATTAGCCTCCAGACTGACACGAATAACTACGCCAGGATGCTTAGTCTTTAACTACCTTCTTGTGGTTGGATTCACGCAATACAATTTATGTGAAACGAAACTGGTATAACTTCATTTCTTAATTCTGAAGATGTCACTCGAAATGGGAATTAAATATCTTGTATTGTGAAATTGCTCTGCTCTGTAAAGTATCGTCCATTATTTGACAGAGGCCGCTAATCTGATAAAAGCAGCCATAAATAATATAATTTGAAGAGGTAGAACATCGCGAAAAAAATGTTAGAGACCAGTAAATGTTATAATAGAAAATAATTATACTGACTACTGTACAGCAGTCATCCATGTTTGTCAGTGTGCTGTTGCTGTGAACTAAATATTTGTGAACTACGGTGATGTTTCTTTATCCTTTATCAACATACTGTATTGTATCTTCAACTGATGAAAATTAAAAGAGTAATAATACATTAATTAAGGACATGGGTTACTACAGTAACCGTCTGGTTATTGTAGGGTTATGAAAACATCGATATACATAATAAGTAGTCAGCTGGATTCTTGGCTGAGGTGAATAATGCTTGAATGATATATGTCGAATTTCCTTATCTTTGACATGCTCGAGTGTCGAAAATGTAACATAAAGCTACAAAATTTACCACAAAAAACAATGAAAAATAATGGAAAAGATTAACAAGTTCTATTTGAAATTTTCCATGTTTTATTTTTATACATATAAATATGAGGTTGGTATACCTATATCATAAACAACGTGAACGTATCACAAAAAAATGTGATATTGATTATTTAAGAAATATAAATTAACAGTTAGTTAATGTACTCAAAGAATCGCACTGAAATACAGCGTTGTATATAAAATATAAATTGTAATTTCTTTACAGGAAATGACCCATCACTCTTTGTTTATAACGTATCTAAAGATTAAAAGAAATCAAAATGGATTTCTGATACTAAATGTAGATTGCGTGATGACATTAAACATTCACTCTCAGAAAATGAACCCATTAAAAAAAATCGTTACATTTAACATCCCAAAATGAAACATATCCACATAGCCACACATACACACATACACACTCTAACGCAAAGACGCCCGCACTCATACAAGCACGCATACACACACTCTCAACCAAGAGCCAGGAGACGCTCCTTTTCCTCTGCCGACAAGCCAATCCTCTTGGGAGCAACAAAGCCGGATTTGCAGAAGAAAATCTCTCGACATCTTCCACGGCTGTCTTTCGCGTAACAGTGTCGGCAGTATTGGATGTCTAGGATATTCTTTTCTGTACAGAAGGAAGGAGCCGAGGGTTAATTAGGGTAGGTAATGATGATAAATGAGGTACAGAGAAATGACGATGAGAGATTAGAGACACGGAATAATATTGTTAATATTTTTTAATACTCATCATTATCAAGAATGAAAGAACATAAGACTGTTCCAATAATGGTGGTTCATCCAACATAGTTGGCGAATATGGTAATAAGGCAGGTAGTAAATGTATATCCAGGGGCGTCACTTCATGTTATGAGTTGGGGGGTGATGGGTAAATTTGCCCTGAAAAAAATAATTTTTGCCCTGCAAATAAGAGAAAATTTGCCCAGCAGAACTAGAATTTGCAAAAAGAGGTTTTTTTAAGAGTTGGTGGGTGACCCACCCCCCATACCCCCCTTAATTGACGCCCCTGTGTATATCTCCAAATGTTGCCGAGTGACTATTTACCATCAAATATGCACAATGTCTGCACAAAACTGATTTAATTCAAAATGTCTCAACTTAGGAAAACGTAATATTGCATGCAAGTATTACGCGCCGATCCACATCCTTAAAAATTATAATTAAATTGAAAAAACAAATAGGGGTGGATTAGTCAGTGGTACTTCAACCAGAAAAGGTACCGATCTCATACAGAAAATGTGAAGATGAAGTTTCAGAACAGGAAAAAAATTAAGAAAATTGTTTTGCCTACTCTATTTATTCCCTCAAAGTATCACAGAAAGACAATTTAGAGAAAGAAAAAAAAACATTGCAGTTACCTTCTATAATGAAAATTAGCTAACAAGAATGTTCGCTACTGGGGGCCACTGACGAAAATTAAGCTTTTCAAAGATACTGTCGTTGTGTTGAATTCAAATGCCATAGGCCAGGTATTTCAAATGAATCAGATATGTCAGCTCATGGGAGGGTTACTAGTTGCATCAAATACAGATATGAGATTGAATTGAAAGAAACATTTATAAAATACAACTGTAATGTAACATCAACATCAGGCTTCCACGAGATGTGCTAAGCATTATAGTAAGTCGCTTAGCAAAACTAATTCCAAAGTCTTGACAGACCCAATGGTTCCATTTACCCAGTGTCTCAACATCAAAATCTTTGCTCAATTTGAGGAAGATTTAAAAGGGTTCGTATCGCCTGCGAAGCCCAGATATGGACAAAGTGCATATTACCTATTGTGTAAGACCTCTCAACCTAAGCGCGTCTTGGTTGCAGGGATAGAGATAAGATTGTGACATTTAAAAAGAAAGATCTATTCAGATGGCAGATATCGTGATCAGGCAGATAAAAAAAATGTGTTTGGGAGCTTTACGAGACAGTGATATTAACGCTATGAAATTAAGAGGTGCCGTGTGATTGTTTTTAAAAGGTAATCGGTGAGTCAGCTTCCACTGACTATGGTAAATCTATGGACTATGGTCTCTCTCCTTTATCTGAAAGCCATCTAATATGCCCAGACCTTGACTTATGCCAGCTACTGATTGCTACAGACGGCTAGAAAAAATATCTCCTGACTTCGATTTGAAAGATAAATCCACCTGTTCCAGAAACACTGCTCGAGTCGCCCTAGATATGTTTGTTTGTTTGTTTGTTTGTTTGTTTTTTGCCTTTCTTCAGAAAAAATGCTTGGCTGGTTGAGAAAATGTGCAGTAAGTAAGAATGCTATACGTAAAATAAGTAGATATCAAAACTTCAACTTCAAATACATGGCGTCATAATTAATCGCGTCATAATTGTGATTTTTTTTTAGCAGGAGATAAATCTAAAATAACAATTTGCAGAGGTGCCAAACTTAATTATACCTGTCACAGAAAACGTTCACAGCTTCATGAAGTAATGAAGGTGAGAGGAATTAATACGAAAAGCAGTGCTAGCAAAATTATCATCAGTGTAAAAATAATGTCAGAAAGTAGCAAAGGAAAACATTCATGCGATAGAAAGTATAATGACAAACACTCGCAAGCGAAGAATAGTAGTAATAACAGGGCTACCTCCGGGCCTGAAGAAATTATTTTCCAGGTCTTCGTCCCAGGCTGCTCCCTCCAGCTCCTGAAGCGAATGCGGAAAGACGAGGAGGAGGAGGCCCACCAACCTCTTCAGCAGGTTGATCCTACGCTCGTAATACCGCATAGGACACTCTCCGGGGAGGGAGCTTGGTGCGAGAGATTCCTGCTGAAGTAGTTTGTCCACCATCTCGTGGTTGGCGAAGTGGAAGCGGGCTCGGTATGCTGGCGGTTTGATTATTAATTTAATCAAGTTGTGTTTAAAACGTTCTCTTTAGATATGTTTATGTCAAATTGGAAATTTGTATATGTATATGTTTTGCACACTATATTAAAATGTTTAAGTAAAAAAGAAGGTTAAATGACTAAAATAGAGAAAGCTGATCATATTTTTTTTTAACGAATTACATTTTACTAATGCATTTGTTTCACTAGGATAACTATTCGAAAATCAGGAAAACATGGAAAATATTGATTTGTAGCAGAGAGACAAAGACAAGCAGATATAAAGAGGAAAACAGTATTAATTAGAAAACTCACACATGTTAAGGGCATCAGCAATGTCATCTGTCAGCAGTTGCGGTATCTGCACCCTCAGCAAGTCGGTCAGCTCCTTCTCCATCTCTTGCAGAGCCGGGCGTACGGCAGCAGGCTCCCCTGACCTATGTCTCCTCACAACGGGTATTGTAGAATATAAAAGGGTAGGTTGTGTGGCTGCCGTCGTTCTCTCTAGCTGCTTGGGTTTCTCAAGGGCCAGATGAGTGACTAAGTGCTCTTTGTCCGCTTGTCTTGTAAGAAGTGTAGGTTTGTTTGTCTCATACGGTTTGGTTGTATAAGAGAGATACTGTGTGTTTACATTTACGGTTGGTTCCGTAGGCGTGTGAACCGTGAGAGGAGTGGGCGGTGGGCTTGTGATGTACCATGTGGGCGTGAGAGGTTCAATGGACGAAGGGGAAGTCCATAGCACTGTCGAAGATGTCGTCACCATGGGCGTTAGAAGTGTGGTCAACGGACTACCTGCATAAGAAAGCAGGCGTGGCTCCTCGGGCAACGTTGCAAGTTTGGGCTTAGCTTGCAAGGGCGTAGAGGACAGGTATATGCGTGACTCTTCGGATGTGGTTTCCGAGGAGCTTGGAGAGTGTTCGAGAACGTCTGGCCTCTCGATCGTGATTTCCGGAACCCCGGGGACGATGCTGTAGTGTGGTCTGGACATGTGATGGCGGGTCAGGTTCAGCTGTGGCACAGTCGCGATTTTACTCCGACACCGCTCGATCTCTGGGGATCAGTAATGATGACCATAAAAGAAATTTCTGAAAACCAAGGATAATGTTTGCAGAAATGTGTTTAGATCACTGACAATTATCAAATTAATCAACGATATTGATTAACAGTGGAAAATTATTAATCATCATTTAAGAGTATTTTTATTGGTTATCTATCCATCTATATACCTTTTTATCTGTATCATTTTATGATTTTGTCGCTGATTTCTTGTGAGTAGATACTGACAGAGAAATCGTCAGTATTGATTCTTGAAATTCCTATAAATTAATGCCATTTATTTCAAAGGTAAATTAAACCGTATAGCATAGAATATAAACAATAAACTCTCACAACTGAGAAGCAAATCAATTGAACAGATTGCAAGGAAATGAATAATGAGGTTCGCCAATCACAAGAAATCAGTGATAAAAACATAAAACGACTTAAATAGATAGATAACCAATAAAAAAAATATAAAATATAACTACAAAAATTCTTTTTCCCACAACCACTTTGCAAAATCATCATTCTTATATGAAAAATCACTTTCCCCCTAAAAACCTTGCACTTACCTGTCGGGCTTGGGGTAGTTCTGTCAACTGTTATGACGATTCCCGACGAACAATGGAAAGCTCCCAGCAAAAACAAGGTCATGAGTTGTGCCATGAGAACGGACTCCACGCGGATGAAACACAAAACCTGCAATAAGAGGATTTTTTTCAACGTGTTTCACTGATTTTAATGATCTTGCCGTAGCAAGAATTCAATGACACCACATTACTGATAATGAATATGAACAACAACATTATTACTATTATTGTTATCATTATTATTATTATTATTATTATTATTATTATTATTATTATTATTATTGTTATTATTATTATTATTATTATTATTATTATTATTATTATTATTATTATTATTATTACTATTATTATTACCATAATGATAAGAATAATTATAATAACGATGATTAATTTTCACGTCCCGAACTCCCTAGGACAGTGCCTTTATTCGAAGGCAGTAATGATAATAATAATAGTATTAGTAATAATAATAATGATGATAATAATAATAATAATAATTATCATTATTATTATTATAACAGAGAGAAGAGAAGAAAGAAAGAGAAAGAGAGAGAGGGGGAGGGAGAGAAAGAGAGAGAGAGAGAGAGAGGAGAGAGAGAGAGAGAGAGAGAGAGAGAGAGAGAGAGAGAGAGAGAGAGAGAGAGAG